TTTTTTCTACAGACATTAACATATACGACTCTAAATGGTCATTCGACATTTTTGCAATCTTGTCTTGATTAACTTTAATTTAGAAAACGATCTTGTGTTACAGAAATTGTACATACTATTTTATAAACATGATACAAATTGTCATAGGTTTTATTGTTGAGTCAGTAAGAAATCGTAACACACAAGATGGACACGATTCACATGCTCCATTTGTATGCTGATAACAGCGCTGTTCTTCTACGTCATCCTTTTGATCTGTATTCTCTCTCAATGTTGTCGTTAAGGGCAAAATCAATTTCAAAATCTCAAGTGACAGCAGTTCAGCCTTTATTTTATCAACGTTGGCATCTGGTAAAAATTTAATAATGTTGTGTAAACTGTTTTCAGGAATTCCCAAAATGGTAATATCACCAAATGGCATGTTTTGATGTATCAAAACATGCCATGTCCATATATAATTGTCGATGTGAAGTGAAACGTGACTCAAGACTTTAGACAACCTCATCCATCACCGCATTGTAAGTGTGAATTCTGTAGCGTTCCAAAGCTTTAGATTCGTCACGTTCGTCAACTGTATATTCATCTAACATCATTAATGTCTTCCGCTTCCGTTTAACTGGTAGTTCTATCTTCACCTCAAATATGGTTTCAATTCTCTGGATGATGCATGCCATCCGTACAAATTGAAAAGCGTTATTATGTACATCATCAAAAAGTCTTGATCGACTTTTAAATTCAATTGCGGCCTTCTCCACCATCTGCCTTCTCTTCACCATTTGTAATACTCCTTATCGGACAGCACTATCAGTGCTGTCCGATAAGCAGTATTACAAATTAAACCAAGCCGCTGTAGCGTCAAATTTAAAAGATCGAACAAACCTTGGCCAGTACCGTCATTGCTTGGTACAATAGAAAGCAGCCGTTCATGCACAATAGCATCTAAAACATAGCAAACCACAATGCTGAATTGGTCAATTGCAAATATATCTTGTGTAGAATCAACTTGTACGGAGTACACTTTTGCTTTGGACACTTCCATTGCAATCTGTTCCTGCATCATATTTTTCATAACATTCAGAAGCGTTGATATAGTAGTCTTACTTAAAAACGTAACCAGAGCACCGCGACCTTTACTGACGGCTTTACCTTGATGCTTCAGTTTTTCTATTCTTTTGGTTGATTTCTTTTTACACATGGAGGGATGAAAGCTAAAAGCGGGTTATATTTGGCCAAAAGCTGTACCAAAGCCAAAAAATGTCCATGATTTTCTTCATCATTGTCCAATGAATAAGCACCTTCATACCTATGACCTCAAAACGGCAATGTTTGCTTACATAAATGTTTAATGATATCAATAACTCGAGAAAATAATTATTTCTGCATCAGTACTTCATCATTATATTTCTTTATTGCTGTACTACAAAATCTGTCAAGTCTTGATAATTCATTATACAAATGTAATCAAGAACATGCCTGCGGTGAGTGCTGCTTGATTGGTGTTCTGCAACCCGTTGGCTAACTCGTCTAAAATCTTTGAAGCCAGACACAAATGATGAAACGGTGTTAGACTGTGGTGATTCAAATGCAACACAAAATGAGTAATAAATAAGACTAAAAATTTTGGCTAAATAACCACCAATTTCTCGGTATGCTATGCTTCAAGTCCGTTTGTCTATGGTAGATCTTGTTATCTAACGGCAAATGTTCATGTGGTTGAATTGGATGTTTGCTAAAAAAAATATTTTAACTGCAAACGTGGTGGATATTTATCGAATTTGACTTAATATCTCCATCACCTCGTACTTGTATTGTTGCTGATGTATTCTGTAAATTTGACTCAAGATCTCGACTACCTAGTGCTTGTATTTTTGCTGATGTGCTCTGTAAATTTGACTCAAGATCTTTACCACCTCGTGCTTTTATTATCTCTAATGTAATTTGTAAAATAGACTCAATATTGCCTTGACATTGTGGTTGTACTGACAAAAATGATGTGATTAATTTGCACTTTTTTGCAGAAACTTGTAGTTTTTCTTTGCGCTTTTGTGCTCCAGGTTTTGACATGATAATAGTGACCTGAGTTAAAATTTTAACATTTAAAAAATAAAGCAAAAATAAAGATCGTCTCTATTTAGAAAAAATGATATTTAGATCTTCAAAAATAAACTTTGACCGATCAAATTTGTTTGAACGGCAAAAATTGCAAATCAAACTTTATATTAAAACTTAAATAACGACAGGCCACTAATGACAGATTTTTGGTAAAGAAAGGGGGAAAAGGGGGCCACGGCACTAATTCCGGTATATTTTAGAATCTTAAGTTTAGCTATAAATTCCAGATCTTTGAGTTACTGCTGGAATTATTAAAACCATTGTATTTAACCATTAGAAACTTCATCATTGGTGAATTTTCTATTGTATTCCTCGAAGGAATTAGAAGAAAAAGAGCAACAACTACCAATTATTTATTTTTTTTTAAGTATTTTTTTAGTATATTTAACTTAATAAGTGAAGAACATTATGACTATTAATAAAAAGACATGTTTTTAAGAAATAATTTGGATTACACACTTTATAACAGTTCTTACTTTTTTGATCTATAACCATGTCTGAATTTTAAAATTTTATTTATAATTTTTTAAGAACTTGAAAAAAATCTTTCTGCTCTTAACGTAGCTACAAAGTGCTTTAACACAAGTTGAACAGAATGTTGTTCTTAAAACTTTCTTTTTATTTATTTTTGGATTTATTGGGAATAAAGAAGACACATTTAATTGGGTATTATTCCCTTTCAGTTTTGTAGTTAAATTTCATTTTAACATGTAAATTTAAATTTTACTGAAGAAATAAATAAATAAATGTAACACATTATTAAAACATTAATATTGTTTTAAATCGCCGTTTTCTATTTTTATTTTTCAGATTTTTTAATATTTTTGTTGCTTTGTATATGTACGCAGTTTCTTTTTCTTTAAAAAATATTTTAAGAGTACTTAAAATATTTTTTAATGAAACGTAGAACACGGCGTTAATTTTTGTTCAAAAATTTCCCAATTGCCAGTTTGCGCGTGTTTTCACACTTTCAGTAATAATAAGTGGAAACCATGTAAAAATAACAGTTAAATTTTAAGAGACAAAAAATGCTTTTTTTTCAAAAAATAAAAAGAAAGTTTGAATGGAATTTTTTTTTTATTTGTTATGTTAGGAGCGTCAAGATGTCCTAACTGTCTTGTCCGCGGAAGTGCATTTAACCAGGAAGTTCATGCCTCCTTCCTTTCCGCCTGCTTAAAATGCAAGTACTCTAACCACTGCGCCACGACCGCGTTAAATTAAATATATTTATCATTATTAAAGATATTAAAGACATATTTAAAAAAAAATTTAAAAATATATACATATATTTATAAAATATCTACAAATCTATAGATGGTTGATAGGTAGATATGAAAATTTTTTAGACAGCAATTTTATTACGATATGACACTAGCTACAATAGCCAGTGGGTCTTTAGCTTTATTAATATGGCTATCCTCTTAACCAAATGTCTGTCTTTATCTTTACAAATATCGATAGCTTTTTGCTAACTTAGCGATCCTCGTGGCCAAATCGCTGTCTTTATCGTTAGATTATAGCTAGCTATTCGCTAGCCGATTTCCCACCGGGTGAACGCTAATATTTTTCAAACTTATATTTTAAAAAGCTAACAATTTCCTGTACAAATTTTTGCAATAATTTACTTTTCACAACTTCCTGTACAGATTTAAATCAATTTTAAAAAATTAAAATAATAATTACTTACTAATACTTTGACACGTTCAGTTTTACCCGAATTGTCAGGTAAAACTGAACACTTTTTTTTTCAAATAAACTTATTTTACTAAAAAACTTTAAGAGATTTTTTTTTCTTTTTTAACATATTCGGATAGAGCTCATTTTTCTCAACAAAAATTATTTAAAAAATCATTTAATTATATAAAAAAAAAAATTAATTATAAATATGTGTTACATTGTTAATCTAAGCTTACATTGTGAATTCGCGATTACAAATTATGAATTTTCATTTAATATAATACGATTTTTTATTTACACGATGTGTTTCTTAATTACATATTGCGAATTCCTTTTTACAACTTTCATGTTCTGAATTACATCTTGAAAATGTGTAGACAGTATGAGATTCGATGAAAATGGTGATCAACTATCTTTAGTTGTTTATAATCACATTTTTTTGTCTATTAACTAATGTCATGAATACTTAGAAGATAGGCTTGTGTTTAAAAAATATTGTTCAGATTATCTATAACAAATCGTCCCCTCAGTTTTATCTTGTTCTATCTACAAATGTAATAAATAAAATGTTTTATTTAATGTATAAAATAAATACAATATATATATATATATATATATATATATATATATATATATATATATATATATATATATATGTATATATATATATATATATAATAAAATATATAAATAAATACAATGTTGTACCTGATATAATATATTATATTACATAGAACATTGTATTTATTTGTATATAATTTTTTTTTGTACTTCTTTTACATATTAGATAAAACAATTTATTTATTACATTTGTAGATAGAACAAGATAATACTGAGGGGACTAAATATACTTAACAATTATTCAGTTATATTAGACATGAAGCATTGGCATCCAAAAATCCATTTTTCACAAGATCTCTCATTTTAAAAAAAAAATAGGCATTTAACGAATAAGAGAAACTTCTCTAAATGCCATCTTTTCTCAAGATCTACCATCGTATTTTGGTGTGAAAAGAATTCACCTACCTCTAATTTAATTAATTGATATTTAGTTTGTTAATACCCGGAGATTTTGTGCTTCTTTGAACTGAGAATTAGACTAATTAATTGTAAACAAATGTAAATTGACCTAATTATGCATTAGCTAGTAATGTATAATGTAGAAAACAATTTTTTTTTAAATTAGTTACAAAAGAAGATGAACATTTATTTGTAAAAACAAATTTATTTTAAAAAATTTGACATTATTGTGCAAGTAAATCAATTAAAAACATTTTTAAAAAGTTTTCCGTAAACACGAAATATAATTATCTCCATAACCGAAGTAGTTTGTCAAAATATTTCATTTTACACAGTTTCGCAACTTAAATAAAATAGTACGCTAGTGATAAAATTAGGTTAAAAACGAATATTTGTTAATTTAATGGCTTAACTTCTTCAAAGCTTGTTTAGAGCAATATTAATAAAGCAATAGCAACCTATTGCACAATGAAAAAATTTGGAGAAAAAGGGTATATTATAAGCATTATGTAGGGTTGATTTAAGCTAAAATATATACATACAGTACTAAAGAAAAATGATGAAAAGTAGAGGGCGATTTTCCAAATGTAATCGCGTGGTAAAAACACAACAAAAACATCAACGCATTTATAATAGTCGTAGAGTTAGTTTTCTACAAGTCAGGGTCAAACCAACCCTGCGTCACATTATTTTGCATTTGCGGAAACATCCCGCTTTGCTGATGTTGATAGCTATTTGGATTATAAGATAAGTTGTTTTGTGACACGTGAGGCGAATATATTTCATCAGCATAAGACTGTGAAGTAAGAATATCAGCCATTTCCGTATTACCAGGCTAAACAAAAAAGTTACAAGTAAAAAAATAAACAAATCTAAAATGCTAGACTATTCATAAAAAAATATTATATACCTCCCAAGGAACGTCATCACGAAATAGTGAACTAGTTAATTCAACAGAGAGTCGTTTTTTGTAATCTTGACTTTTGTCTTCTGACATGCGGAAAAGCACAGCAGCAGCATATGCTGCAATGCCATCATTTCGAGAATGTAAAAGTTCAGTTAAAATAGTTGTTGCACCTTCACGCTCAATAGCGTCAGCCCCTTCTTTATCTTGAGCTAACTCACATAATACACCGGCAGCCACACGAACAATATTTTCAACTTCAGAATACAAAAGCTTAAATATTAAATTAAAAAAATGCAAACATGTCAAAACTATCATTTATTTTGTCATATTTCTATATATATATATATATATATATATATATATATATATATATATATATATATATATATATATATATATATATATATATATATATATATATATATATATATATATATATATATATATATATATATATATATATATATATATATATATATATATATATATATATATATATATATATATATGTCAAAACTATCATTTATTTTATCATGTCATTATTTTATCATGTCAAAACTATCATTTATTTTGTCATATTTCTATATATATATATATATATATATATATATATATATATATATATATATATATATATATATATATATATATATATATATATATATATATATATATATATATATATATATATATATATATATATATATATATATATATATAAGTTACTATATTATATATCTATATTATTTATATACTTACTTGAACAAATGTAGGAATACAATTTAGGTCGCGAATAATTGAACGATTTAGAGCTTCTCGAGCTAAAATGTGAAGAGCGCCAACAGTCCCCTCAACAATTTCCTCCATTCTAACACCGTCTTGCATATTCTGGGCTCCTGGACCACGTCTCTGAATATCTAGTAAGAAATTAGTGTAAGCTTAGATCTATTGTTGAAAATCAATATATAATATTGCTATATAATAACGCTAAACAATATATAATAAAAATGCTGTATGATTGTTTTTATGAATATTTATTATATTACAAATTTTTACTTCAAACTTTAAAATTGTTTAGCAAACTTATTAGGGTTTTAAAACATTTAACTTAACAACATTGATGCAGAGTACACTACAATTAGTATAAAGTACTTTGCAGACCATTTAATCAAGGTTTACTTTCCCAAACAAACGTACATTCTAACAAGCAATAAAAATTACAATATAAACCACATTACATTAAAATTGTACTTTAAAAAAGTGAGAATCTTTTTTACTTAAGGTTCTCACTTATATATATTACCATTATCTATGCATTATCAAATATTACCATTATCTATGAAATTCAACTAGTTTATAATCCTTTATTATTAAGCTGCTGCATTCCTTAGTTTAGATTAAACTTTCACATTGTTTTCATAAAAAAGACGTCTTGAATTTTTTAAACCTAAATATTTACTCCTAACTTACAACTTTTTGTTTTAGATTAAGTAATTTCAAATCAAAACAATAAATACCTTGATATGATTTCATTAACAACTGCACAAGCTTAGGAAGACCACCTTGATCACGAATAGGAGTATGGTTGCTAGGACACAAACCAAGGTTCCTAATTAAGCCAACAACAGCTTTAATTAAAGGCCAGCGAGAAGGAGGATTTAACAACTTTACAAGAATTGGTATTCCATAATGTAATCTTACACCATTTTCTGCATGCTCTGCATCTGGATGTCTACTTGTAAGATGGCGCAACGCACATACAGCTGGTTCAGTTATTTCCTCACGGTCACCAGCATTTATGATTGTTCGAACTAATGCTTCAATTCCACCCACTTGAAATACAACTTGCTAAATATTGAAATTATGTTTATTAAATATAAACCATAGTATAAAATGATAAAAGATTGGACTCTATAAAATGTATCTATAGAAAAACCAATTACCAAGATTACAGGAATCATATTATATTATCAAGATTACAGGAATCATATCTATAAAAGGCTTTTTATGATTATGTATGGAATATACTAGAATTGTACCTTATTCCGAGGATTGTTGCAAGTTAAATTTGATATAATGCCAGAAACACATGTAACAACATTGATATCATTTGAAGATAAAAGTTGTACAAGCATCTGCAAGAGTCCTTCTAAACCATCTTGTTTAGTAGCTACATCAGAAAGATTTCTCAAGGTCCATAAACAATTTTGTACAAGACGCGTGCTCTGATGAGACAAATAATGTGCCAATGCTTGCATACCTCCAGCCTTAATAATAAAAATTAAATAAGTTTTTTATTATTTCTTTTACATAATTAATAGATTATTGTAAAAAATGTAAATAAATTAATATAGAAAAATTGCATCATATATGTATAAATTATTTTATCACTATATTTTTAAAAACTCAATAGTAAAAACACAAAAACACACACACACAAAAATAAAGAAAGAATAAAACCTCAACAATAGCAGGTTTATTGCTGGAACATACAGAAAGTACTTTTAAAACTCGACAAGTTGTATATAACAATTTTTCATAAGTATAGCTTCTCATTATGCGAACAAGTTCAGCAGGTCCACCAGAAGATAAAATAATCAGCTTAGATTCTTGGTTACCATATGCCAAAATTTGTAAACAATCTTTTAAAACAAAAATAAATTATTTACTCAACACAAATAAAATGGTTGTTTGATTAAGCTGTTATTTTTTTATATTATTTATTAAAGACTTATCTATTAATTAAATTTTTACTTATAGTTTTATATATATATATATATATATATATATATATATATATATATATATATATATATATATATATATATATATATATATATATATACATACAAAAAAAACTAAGTATAACATTTAATTTACACACAACGTATTTTTAAATGATCTATATTATAATTAATTTTAGATTTTATTTAAAGCCTTCAGGTAAAATAAAAACTTGACTCAAATTAAAAAAGATCAATGGTTAAAAGTAATTTGTAACTTAACAAATTTTTTTATTACATTTAAATTTTTAAAACATCAAAACAAGCATCATCAAATTGAAAAAAAAAAAAGCAACAAAAAAAACGCTGTCAGTAACTGACAAACAGTAACTGTTAAAGCGTGAAATTTAAGTATATTTAAAAAAACATACAATATTAAATTAAAACTATTTTATTAAAAACAAAAATCTGCAATGAAATACTCTAAATAATAAGGAAAGAAACTACAACTTCACTAGACTAACATTAAATAAACTAAAAAATATGACAAAGATGTTGATAGCATAACTCAATTTCCAAACACCAGAAAAATTTTAAAAATTTGATCGGACACTGTCTGACCCAAACAAGATTTAATTAGACATTTTGTGCGGGATACATATATATATATATATATATATATATACACACACACACACACACACACACACACACACACACACACACACACACACACACACACACACACACACACACACAGATATATATATATATATATATATATATATATATATATATATATATATATATATATATATATATATAAAGTGTTTGAGGTCAGCAAAAAATCATCTACCTCGTTTCTATGTTTTATGTTAACCCCTTTGTTTTAAGTTTTTTTGCTGACCTCATTTTACCTAATTCCGAGGGTTGTGTATATGTATATGTGTGTATATATATATATATATATATATATATATATATATATATATATATATATATATATATATATATATATATATATATATAATAACATAAAATTATAATAATATATAATACTATTTATTCATTTTATTATCATATTTGTAACCCTACTCCTGTTTGTACATAACTTATTTTAGAGTATAAAGTAGGAAAAATTATAAAATTACCTGTTACAATTGCAAGAAATTTTACATTTGGCCTCTGCAAAAGAGAGACCATCTTCTGCAAACCTAAAGCTAAACGGACAGCCATCTTTGCACCTTCTTGATGGAGGAGAAGATTGTGCAAAGTTGTAATTGCATAAAAAACAACAGCTTCAATTCGATGGCCTAACAATTTTACTAAAGCTGGAATTCCACTACATTTGAAAATAGCCATTAAACCTTGTCTAAACAAAATAAAATTGTACAATACTTTTATAGATTTAAAAAAGAATTTAAAATTAAAAGTATATTTTAAACAAAGAATGATTAAAAAATTCACTATAAACTATAATTACCTGTGATGGCTCATATTATGTAAAGCACCAACAACATTGCGTATAGTTTCTCCATCATTTGAAGTTGCAGTCACACCAACCAATGCAGCAACAATGTTTGTGTTATTCATAACTGCATAACAACTAGCTTCCTTCTTTGTTAGCTGGTTGACCATAATAGAAGCCTGATGAATAGTTTGAGCATCACTATTACATAATAAACGAGCAAGCTCTGGTACAGCTCTAAGTGCTACATCTGTCTCATCTTGATAATTGATAAGGTCAATTACATTGTTCTTAAGCATTTGAGTTGGTTCAGCAAGACGTTGAGGTACAGCAGAGTTGTTATTATGAATTTGTGCATGAGAGAGTTCCATATTTTCATGCATAGCCTCAGGAAACATTCCTGTTCTAGCACGCTGACTGTAAATATAAAACTTAAGTGCTTGTGAATAAAAAACTTAATAACAAATAAATTTTAAATTTTAATTAAGCTATGTATAATAAACATATTTACAACTAAAATAATAATAATAATAATAATGCAGTATAATTATGAGTAAGCAAACCTTCTATTGTTATTAAACTGATCATTTATTGCAGTATCCATTGGTTCACCAGAGAATTGGTCCCATTCAATCTGCTGATAAGAATGATGGGATGCAACTTCATCGTCATCATAACCTTTGACAGAAGGAGCAGCTGTTTGAATACCTGAATCTATGTTGTAACCTTGATTCCAGACTGCAGTTTGGTTCATTTTGTTCATTGCTAAGAAATAATTTAGCATTAGTATAGGTTTAAAAACAATCATATGCTTTGATTTTATTTTTGATGTGTACCTGGATGCATTTGCTGATGATGCATATTAAAATCAACCATTCCTTGTTTTTGCATTCGCATTTGTTGTAATTGTGTTTCAACAGAACGAATTTCCATCTGAATTTGTTGTCTGTAATAAAATATAACATCATAAAAACATTAAATAAAATGAAAAATTTAAATTAAGAGATTTAAAAAGAAAAAACCTGTTAGGTTGATTGCTCTCGAGCATCATCATTAATTTATTCCGACGATCTTCAAGCATTCTTACATCCTGAAAATTATTTCAAATTAAAGAAAACATATTTATACTACTAGAAGATTTTGCTAGTGTTATATTAAAGCTATAAATATGCATTGTCATTTTTGTTGTCATTCGTGCATTGTCATTTTTGTTGTCAAAACTATTATCTCTCAGAATATTTAAATTGTCTTCAGAATTACTTTTAACACCTTTAGTTTAAAAAGTTAGTTTAGTAAAAAACATTTTAACTGCAACTGAAATTAAAACAGTATTTTTTTACTTAAAAAACTATTTAAGTATTTTCTCACTTTAAAATTTCTTAAATTTTTAGAGAGATTTAAAAAAAAAACTGCTTTTGGCTTAATATTTTTATGAAATTTTATTTTATTTAAAGAAATTTTATTAAGATAGTGACTTAGCCAATGCTCAGAAACAATAATAGCAAGCATTTTATGTTATATAAAAGAAACAAATTATAAAAAAAAAGATGGCATTTTGCAACATTTACTACGTATAGCTTAAAGAATGTGCTCAAAAAACTAGGGTCAAATTTTTACTGTAAGCTATTTACAAATTTGTTAAAAATTGGAAACGAAGTATTTTCATATTCAAAAATGGGATAATTATTTATTACAGAAACAAACCGTAACATGCAGTTTAATTTCAATTCAATTCTTCATTTATTACATATATTTTAAAAAAGCAATTTTTGTGTTTTTGGAAACACCTAAATAAAGTTTTTATTGAAATCAAAAAAATTATATTTTATATATAAAATGAAGTTTTTATTAAAATAAATCATTAAAATAAATCAAATTTTATAATAAAAAACTGATTTTAAAATGTTTATTTTTGCACTTAAAAAATTAGTTTGAATACCCCATTTTTTATAGTTTTTAAAGTTTGGGATAATTTTTTAACAACAGCATGCAAGATTTTATTTTTCTAGCTTTTTAAAGAACCAGAATGCAATTGTTGATTGCTTAGTAATTCTTCAAAACAAAGTTCTCAGATTAACAAAGGACTGGAATGGAATATTATTGAGCAGGCTTTTTAAAAGTAGAAAATTATATGCAATTGATGCTGACAAAATACAAATATTAAAAATAAAAAATAATATAAACATGTAGCAATACCAAGAACCTTGACAAAAATATGATGTGCTTACAGCATTCTTTAATTGTTTGTTTAATTTTTTTATCGTTGTCATATTGTCAATTTTTATTATAACTATATTATTTCTATGCATTACCTTGGCTTTGAAAAATAGTTTAAGTAAAATATGATACTTAAAATATAAATATATACACACACAAAAACTTGCATAATTAGTTCAGCATTGATGACATCATACTGAAATAATGAGCCGGAGGGGGCTTCAGTGCATACATCGAGTAGGGATTTAGGTTCAGGCAGGTATCATCCAGAGACTTAAGCAAAAAAAAAAAACGCAAATTTTTTTTTCTCCTGAAGAATTAATTAAAGTTAGAATTTTTAACTTTAAGGTGTGAAAACTATATTACAATAGTGCTAATCTATATATATATATATATATATATATATATATATATATATATATATATATATATATATATATATATATATATATATATATATATATATATATATATATATATATATATACACACACACACACACACACACACACACACACACACACACACAAACACACACAGTGCTGTGACTAATGGGTCTGATGCCCCTGCCCCCCCTCCCCCCCAAAAAAAACTATTAGGTTCCAAATTTCTTTTAAAATCTTCCACTAGGTATTACTAAAAAAAAAAAAAAACTCCTTTAATTTCCAAAAGGGTCCCTAAATTTGTAAATGAATATATATATATATAAATTTTTTCTCTTAAAATGAAATTAACCATTATACTTATAAGTAAGATTAACTTTTTAAATAATGTAAAAAACTTACTCTTCCCTGATCATAAGATTGTTGATGTTGGTATTGATACCTCATTTGAGCTGGTAATTAAAAAGAATTTATAATCAACACTTTTCTAATAACCATTTAAATAATTACTTATCATAAACATTGTTCATAACAAATTTATAATTTCAGGGTTGTTCATATAGCAGATAGTAAGAAAGCTGAGGTATTAACTAAAAGATTACTAAAATATTTTTTATTATTAAAAAAGATTTTAGTAATCTTTAAAGTATCAAAATTTAAACATTAATGTATGAAATAAATTTAATAAATGAAATGCAAAACTTTATAACATTCTTTTTTTTTTTTAAATTCCTTCAAAAAAATGTTGAAAAGAAAATTATCATGAAACTAAATAAAAATCTGAAATTAATGTTAGCTCACTGGTAACCAAAGAGTATTTGTTCTATAAAAATAGAAAAGAGCATTTATAAAATCAAAAAAAAAGGGGGTTCAGTTTAGTGAACAGTGTTAAGGTTTCATTTTAAATTTAAACCTAAGTGGAATAGATTTAAACAGGTAGAAGAATATACTCAACATTGAGGGCTCAACTTTGTAGTCACTTTTAATGGAAGAAAAGTTTTATATAGCATTATCTTTAACATGCTGCTCTAAAGTAGGATAAAAAATTATTCAATTTTTGTTGGATTATGTATCATATTTACATTAATATTGTAAATATTTTTGAATGGTTATGTTGTTTTAAATTTTGTTTTAATTAATTGAAACCTAATTTATTTATTTTTTCTTTTAACTGGCATTAAATGGGCTAAGAAACCTCCTTAATTTTACCCTTTTTTCACCATTTATGGCTTTTAACACTTTGCTCAGATTTCAAAAAAGAACTTTTTTCTATTATTACAAGACAAATACTCTTGAATAAAAAATGTTTCATTTGAGTGACACAACAAAAAAGATTTTGTTTGAGTGACACGACATAAAAAAGATTTTGTTTGAGTGATACAACATAAAACCTGGCAGTCTCTTTGGCCACCAGTGAGCTTGAATATACAGAATACTATTTTTATTATGATAAATTTTGTTATCACAATTTTTTTTTGTTTTGTTGAGAATTTATTTTTTCAAAATAAATAATCATCGTAATGACCATTATGAACGTCATCATCACAATAACCATGATGATGATCATCATCAAATCATCATCATCATTGTCATCAACATCATTATCATCATCATAATTGTAATAATAATCATCATAATATTTAATTTTAATGTAAAACGTAAATACAATTACAGTTATTTTTGTCACTAATGTTTTTGTTTGTTTTTGCCTCAATATAAAAATTTTGTTGATTAATCTTACATTAAATTGATACTTGATGTATCTTTTTTTTACTGCTTCAAAATATTTTCCTTTCATTTTAGCATATTATCTTATTACTTGCTAAATTTCATTGAAATATTTTGATTAACAACTAAATATTATTTTGATAAAAAGGAATATAAATCAATTTAGTTAAATAAAACTTAAGTAAAAAATTATCAGACAAATCTATTTTAGAGCCAAAAATTTGAATTACACAAAAATTTAGTTCCAGTTTTTATATCCTAGCTACAGATTTTACAAAAGTTATAGATTTATTTACAAAAAAACTCATATACTTTCAGATTATTTTAAAATTTAGTTAAATTTTTTTTTATATTGTGATTTAAAATTTTATAACTCTTAGCTACATTTGTTTTTAGTAATATCAAATTAACCAATAAATAATCAATAATAAATACCCAATAAACTTTTAACACTTACTACAATTTAATATAATAATAGCAAATCATAAACAATAATTCATAAATAAAATCAAGATGATTATAAAATAGTACTTTAATTACCTTATTAAATAACAACTATATAATTTTAACAATCAATAACTAAAATACATACCAGTTGAATCCTCCATCATTTTTTTTTTTTTTTTAATAAAATCTAAATAAAAAAGAATATAATTTAAGACTAGAAAATGAAAAAACACTTTGCATCAAAAAAGCGCGCATATAAAATTAACTGCACTGAACAGGGTATCAATTAACGTATTGTTAAATTATTTCGCTTGTATTAAATATTCAAATTTATTGAAGAATTTTTAAAATAGCATTCATCTATGTTATATAAAAAATGGTATTCATATTCAGACAAAATTGTCATAAAAAGGAAATAAATTAGGCGCCAATCAAATCCTTGTTAAGGAAACAAGATAGTTGTTTCAACATCGAAAAAACTAACTATGCCATGATTTATTTATTTTATTTAGTATATAACCACCTTATAATTTTATTTTCCTAAATTTAAAATAATATTACATGATTGACAAGTAAAATCATACATCAAACTTGTTATCCGTAAACTTTTACTTACATTGACTATGGAATTTCTTTGAGTTTGTCGGAAAGTAGGAAAAATAAGGTTGTACACCTCAATATAAAATTTATTTAATTACTTCATTCAAAGCTATTCGTAACTTTATTTGTAAATACACAGATATAAAATTTTCTTCTTTAACTGGCGTCTAAATGACAAAAATATATAAAAACAACACGCCATTCATGAATTACGAATGTATTGTTTTTAACTTTATACCCCCAGCAAAGGTTTCGCAGTTTTGTTGGGAGGTTTAAAAAATCTATTAACTATTTTATCTATAGTAATTATTTTAAATAAATATAATTTGTAGAAAAAACTCCTTAAATATTGTAATACACCTTTATTTTTTTAGTAAAATTTTTTGCACTATTGTTTGAAACGATTTTTAGATAAAATAACTCTATTCTACACTACCTAAACGTTAACTTATTTTTGTAAAGTTACGTCAAGAATTCACTTCTAAATTTGCCGACACAATAAAGGAGCATGGTCTGTTTAAACAAATTTTTTTGACGTAAACACCAAAGTGCGCAATAAAAAAAATTTTAAATTTAATTTTGCTCTATAAAAATAAAATTTCCTAAAGATTTTTATTAAAAAGACAAACAAGCTTTTTCAAGTAACGATATACGGATAACTAAGAAAATAAGAAATTTATTCAAATTTACTTTACTTTTTGCAATATTACTTTTGAAAAAAGTTATTTGTTTATTTTTTAGAAAATTTATAATTTTAATATATTGCTTCTTAAGCCTGAAAAAGAGAATGCAAAAAGGGGGTATTTAAAATAAATAATTGCGGTTTCCGCAGATTTTGCGTAAACTATTTTAACAATTATATAAATCTATAATTTGATTAAAAACATATTATAAGAATAAATAATGCGAAAATTATTTTAGGTTATGTGAATTACTTTGACTCTAAGTCAAACTAAGTTTTTTTTTCAGTTATGTTGTTTTCCTTTAATTTTATTATATTTGCCCTACAAACTAAAATATATAAGGATCTTCAGCATAAATTATTGACATTCATAAAGAAACGATTGACAATCATATAAATTTTTTTTTTTTGAACACTGAGCTCCATAAACTGCATTACTAAATGGCTCTGTAGTAACTCCTTCTGTTAAATTTACTAATAACCGCTTCACTTTATACCTATTATACGCAAGATTACTTTGATTATTGGATTATTAACTATTTTCTATGGAAATTTTTGTTGGAACGGTTAAGTAGTTAGTATATTTAAAGAATATTCAGGCCCGACGACACGGGTTTCAAAGTGTGGGTCACAATCGTCAATTCTTAAAATAAGTCTTCTATATCTAGAATTTTCTTTAAAAAAAAAAAGGTCCTTCACAAAAAAAGTGGGGCACGTGCTCCCTGCCCCCCCCCCCACACACACACACTCCCGGTGTAGTCGACCTTGATATTACAATTGTTTTTTATAGAGTCATATAAATTATTTTAAATTTTTCTAACTTTTTCTTCCCTTAACTTTCTCTATCCTAAACTTCCTCTTCTCTCAAATTTTTTCTCTTTAAACATCTTCTTTGATCAAATTCCTTCTCCCTTGATTCCGCTATCTTAAGAAATGACTACACCATTGTTTTTTTAATTTATTATTTAAGTTTTTTATTTTTTTCGTTCTTTACTAAAGTTCAACTATTTTCCGAAGAAAAAAAGTTCAAATCAAAAATAAAGTAATTCGATGTTACAAAAATGTTAATGTTCTTTGCATTGGGCTTATGTGACGTCATAAATTAGATTTGTCAATATCAATACTACAATGACTCGCGTTATAAAAAAATCTTTAATCTTTGTCTGCAAACCAATCCAATAATGGCTTACGCTACATGAAATAATTATATTCTATAAACCCGTTTTATTAAGAAGTTCAAAGAAATGCAGCTTTAACTACTGTAGCCGAGGTGCTTGCTTAAGAAGAAGCAAGAGATCTTGGGTTCAACTTGAGCTCTGGACATATTTTAGTCATCGGTAAAGAAGAACGCGTAAACTTCCCAGTTAAATGCTCTTCTCCGCTGGTCTGTGACAGGATCGTTATATATATATATATATATATATATATATATATATATATATATATATATATATATATATATACACACACACACGCGTATAAATTTTTAGGAGCCATGATTGTTTTGAAAGAGAGTTTTGTAACAGATGAAGGCATAAAGTGTGAAACTCTAAGTTTCAAACGATTTTAATTGTAGTTATTTAATCATTTTTTTTATATATTATTCAAAACATTTTGCACGCTTTCCAAAATAAATCAGAACAGATATTTAACTTAATTTTTAAATAACAGTTACAATCGACTCAAGAGTTATTTTTCGAACTTTTAACTTCTATTAGAGGACCAAAAGTATGGAATAATATACTAGCTAACAAAATTAAAACAATTGCAACGCCTAATGAAATAAGACCATATTGAGGTAAAAGCGATGAGCGGTGTAGTGATTTTTTCTGATGTTTTTGGGTTACTGTTGATAAACTACCCCTACTTTTAAAGGTATATCAACTTGGCAAATTTTAAAGTCATTTGTTACTTTGTCAATTCTTTTTTTTATTAAAAATTCAATTTACCATCTTGCTCTTTAGTAATGCAGTTTTTTGTTAAACTAAGTATTTTTTCTTTGTATTTTGAATTTTTTTAAATAATTTTTTTTTAATACTTAATTTTTGATTTCTGAAATGTATAAATTCAAACTCAAACTCAAAAGAAAAAAGTTTTTAAAACTGTTTACAAAAGTTAAAGGACAGTATGGTTTTTTATAAAAATGGTTTATATTATAATTTGTTACAATTTCTTATTTTTATACACATACGGTAAAGTCGGCAAAAAACACATACTCATCCCCCTCTCCCCCTCCCCCACCTATTTAAAATCTCTTTAGGACGGCCCTGATTATGTCTTCTTCTATTTGTATTTACATTATGTTTTACGCCTTAAAAAAGAAAATGTTGTTTCATTTTTAGATTTCGTCATAAAAAAACAAAAAAAAAACAAAAAAAAATAAATTAAAAAAAAAACCAACAAAAAAAAACAAAAACAGTAGACTCAAACAATTGACAACCCCTTTTATCTTTTTTCTGGCAGACTAGACATTAAAGCTTCATAAAATCATTTCTATAACTTATTTATAGCGCATTTTAAGCTGGAAAATTTTCCAAATATTTGAAGGCGTATTTCTAGTAATGTATCATATTTGTTTTATTTATTTTAAAAAACAAAGCTATAGTTAACAAATTCACTTAAAAAATATGCATTTTAAATTTTTAAACTATTTTAAACTTAATTTTTAAACTATTTAACTAAATAATTAAACTAGTAACACCATTTCCGGTATTACTTTTAATTATTCAGTAATTTTTTTAAAAATTAAAGGTCATTTTATAACTTATATATTAGTTTGTAATATCTTACCAGCAGATATTACAAACTAACTTCATTAATATATAAGTTAGCCAGTGATTTTTTCAAAATGGAGAAGAAAAAGAAACAGCTTGTCATTTTTAAATAGGATCTTGTTTAAAACTGAGTATGTTATATATATGACACTATTGCTGTTGTACGCGGTATCCTGAACGAATTGACATCCGTGCTGTATTCATCTACGATTTAAAAAAAATAAAACAATTCATTTACAAGAGCATAAGTATTATTGGAAGTTTTAAAACAAATATCAATTTAAAGAAAGAGGATTATTTTAATTGGTGCAACAGACTTGGCGTTAGTTACAAGCTTAATGTTTGCTATTAAAATAATCTTATGCTCTAAAATCTAACAAAAACCCTACGGTTAACATATTCAAATGCGGTTTTTTTCCACATTTGGAAATGTTTACCATAGTTTTTTTGACTAACATTTAATCAAATGCATACAGCGTACCATGGTTTGTTTGAGCTTTAGCATCATTAGCATTCATATATATATATATATATATATATATATATATATATATATATATATATATATATATATATATATATATATATATATATATATATATATATATATATATATATATATATATATATATATATATATATATATATATATATATATATATATATATATATATTAATATACAATGAATAAATAAAAGAAAGAAAAAAATTAATTATAAATATATTTTAATAAAAAGATTAGTAACTTAAGCTCTTTTTATAACTTGGTTGTTTACTTTTATTTTTGACATGATTTTATGAAAGACAAAAATTTATAGCCAAAAGCATTCATTCCAAAAGTAATCTAGGGGCGGATCATGGTTTTTAAATTAAATTAAGAGGCGTGTATAAAAATAATACATTTAAATTAACTTTTACATTTACATAATTGTAAAATTTTCCTAAAAGACACCCCTTTCCATTTGAATATTAAAAATTAGACGCATCCTCCCTTAGCTAATTAAATTTATTCAACATTATAAATTGCAGTTGTATGTTTTTATAAAAGTAAATAATATTTTAACTTTTTTCAAATATAATCAGTAAATTGAAAATGTTAATTAACATTTAATGTAGTAACTTTATCTTATATTGCTAATCAAAGCCAAATTGTCGTATTGACTTAACGATTCTATCGAAAATACAGATGACATTTTTGATCGAAATTTGGAATGACAAGTTTCTGTAATATGCAAGTGTTGCATTAACTGGCGTAATCAGCTTTAGTTACAGCATAGTCTATAAACTTAATTAAATGTTAACAGTTGAATTAATCAACAATATTTTTCTTTTACTTCTATGTCAGAGCCGTAACCACCGAGGGGGCCAGGAGGACCTAGGTCCCCCAAAAAATTATTAAACTATAATTAATAGGGAAAAACATACATTTTTTAGGGTTTTTACTCTGCTATGTTTGAGCCTCTCCCTATGTAACTTGAATACTTTTGATTTAACTTTTAAAGTGTTTAAAAATACCTTTAAAATGTTTAAATCTGATAATTCAGCAGGCTCTTATAGTGCTAAAGTTTCTAAGGTTTTAAAAATAATTCTGTACAACAAAAATTATAATCATGTGACGATAAACAATTTATTTAACAGCAATAAATAAGGCTTCCAAAAAACAGTCCAACTGAACACGAAATTTTTTAAATTACTTGAAATATTTCT